CCTGCCGCAGGACATGTCTGGACAGTCACCCGCAGGGGAGCGGCGGGCGGGAGGGAGAAGTGAGTCCGCCACCAGCGTCCATCAGGGTGGACCTTCTGCAGGGGGCATGGACAGCCTGATGCCCCACCTGGGGGCCCTGGCCTGGGGCTGGGGGAGGGACAGAGGCAGAGAGACAGAGATGAAAGAGAACACACGGGCGTGTGTAGGAGGGCTGGGGCAGGGTCCTGCGGCTCACTCTATTGTAAAGAACTCCCTGTCAGTATGAGGGGTCTGTGTGAGCCTGCAGGCCAAGTGTGTGACCTGCGCCCGAGTCTGGTAGGTGCAGCTGTCGGCGTGCCTCAGCACATGATCACCTGTGACTATGTTCATTCTACCTGCTACGTGCCATGCTCTATTCTAGGTGCTAGGAGGCAGCTCTCTTGGGTTGTGCAGTGCACAACATTTAAGACTGTGCATGGGGACCCAATTTAACCGACCTCAGAACCTGGTTTTGAGTACTGTTCTAGACTGTCACATGGCCATGCCCACTGAAGGCCTGTCCCATCTACCTTTTTGCCAAGTGATAGCTGGTCGGGGAGCCCCCGAGGTCTCACATGCCAGTACCACTGACATGCCGTCAATCACCGTGCTGTCCAGGGGGCCCCTGGTGATGTTGGGGGCAATACCTGCAGACAGAAGCCGTAGGGTCTGTTAGCTCCAGGAGGGAGCCCAGAGCCCCTGCCATACAGAAGACCCAGATGGTCCAGCCCGGCCCCTGCCTGGATCCTCATGCTCCCATATGGGGAAATCCAAGCAGACGGATTCTTCCTCCGTGAACTCGAAACGGAGGCTCCCGCTTCTTAAAAGTTCTTAAAGGACACTGAAGCAATGCTGACTCTCCCCGAGGCCTGAGCAGGCCCGCTCTCCAGACCCCGGACTGATGGGAATCCAGTTTCTGCTTAAAGAGCTGCTGCACTGCCCGGTGCCAGGCCATGGGGGGTGGGGACAGGACGGGACGTGGGGACCCAAGATGCCCTGAGGAGCTCGCAGGCTGCAGGCGCCTTGCCCGGCAGCTCTGAGATGCTGCTGCTACACAGTGGCACATTCGGTCCGCACTACAGCCCTTGGCGGGGACACTGCCCCGCACTGGGCTCAGGGGGGCGGGGCGGCCAACTCACTGGTGACGGCCAAGTAGGTGGACGTCTGCACCTCGCCTGCTGCGTTGCGTGCAAAGCACTGGAACATGCCGGTGTCGTCAGGCACCAGGCCGCTGATCTGCAGGCCGCCGTCGCCTCGCTGCCGGAAGCGGGCCAGCTTCTCCACCTCAACCACGGCTGCGTCTTTGTACCAGGTGATGGAAGGCGGCGGTACACCTGCGGGGGCAAGGCTGCATCAGTCTCCGGCTGCCTGGGAGGGGTTCTGGGGTACAGCTAGGGCTGGAGTCGGCAGGGGGGGACACTGGTGTGTCTCGGTCTCCGGGACCTTCTCAGAGCTGTCACTTGTGGTTTGAGTGAGGGGAAGAGGAAAGGTGTTCTTACAGCAGCAGTTCTCGAATTATTTGGGATATGGTATAAGAAAATGAAGAGATCCCTGGACCAACTTACTTTACAAGTGCTGGTTGCAGTATTTTTGTGGGCTCGGGGAACCTCCAGGTAGGGGATGGTGGTGGAATAGCACGCAGGGGGGCTGGGGTTCTTTGGGAGGCCTTCAGATGCCCCTTCCTCCTTGGTCTGCACCGGGAGGTGTCCTTAGGCCTGGCACACGCTTCTCTGAGGGGATCTCCTGGGCCTCTCCCTCCCTCCCTTCATTCCTCTGGGTCTCTGCTGAAATGTGGCTTCCCCAGGGAACACCCAGCTCTGCACCCCTTGGCCTGCCTGCTTTTCCTCCCTGCACCCCTCCACCTGGTGTCAGCACCGCTGTACCTCGTCTGGGGCGTGGTGCACTCTCTTCGCCGTCTCAGAGACCAGGATGGGTCTCAGAATCGACAGGGTGTCATGATTTAATTGGCAGCCCTTTTTCTTTCTTAGTGGTACATAAAATAATGAGGTGTCTTACAACCCATGGCATTTGAGAAGTCACTTTGTTTTAGCTTTTTTGTTGTTGTTCCCATGGCATTTGAGATGAGATGAAACCAGGCATCTTTATTTGTTTATTGGTTTGCTCATCTCCTTGGCAAAAATCAAAGTTCCTTCACGGCAAGGTTGGGCTGCCCGGAGCACCCTGTGACTCTCCACCCCTGATGACAACTCAGTTACCCACCAAAGGCATCTGTTGCCAGAACAATCACCCTGCAGTCTGGAGGCTCAGAGGGGGGCTGTTATTCATGTCCCCCTGCTGTGGTGCTCCCTCCTGCCTGGCAGCATTGGCCTCTTTGCTCCTTATTCGCCCCTGCCCTGTCATGCTGCCCTACCCTCCAGCATTGAGTCCAGGGCCTCTGCATGGAGCTCCATCTCTAGCCCTTTTTATATTTTTATTTTGAAACAGAGTCTCGTTAAATCGTCCAGGTAGGCCTTGAACTTGCCACCCTCCTGCCTCAGCCTCCTGTTTTGCTAGCTTTCTCTTCCTTCTAATCACCTGGATCCCATCCCCTGCTCTTTCTTGGTTCAGCAGCACCAGGGGACGGAGGGCAAGGATGGATTCCTCCAGCCGCTGTGACAAGGGTTTAAGTAGGAATAGAGGAAGAGGAGAGGAAGTAGCACCCTGGCAAACAGGTGGGGAGCCGGAGACCCATCTCCAGCGAGACACACCCATCAAGGCAAGGTGGGCAACTCTGACTGTGGGCAACCTGGGACTGTCAAGTCCTAAATGACAGTGATTTGGGTTCAGGTTACAGGAATGGGGGTGGGGGGCTCATTTCCATCCTGAGATTAAGGTAGTTGTTTCAGCCCATCCCAAGGCCCTGCCCAGGGGCGCGGCTTTGGGGAGGAGGCTTTAGAAATGTCCCAGCCAAGGGCCAGGGATTTAGCTCAGTGGTTCTGCTGCCTGCCTTGCAAGCATAAGGACCGAAGTTTGATCCCCAGTACCAAAAAAACAAAAACAAAACCCAAACAAACAAAAAAGAAATGTCCCAGCCGGGTCAGAGGGGCCACCGCGTTACCTTTGGCCAGACAGGGGATGTCCACCACCTTCTCCATCTCGGCCGTGATGTGTCGCTCTGGCTCCTTGACAAACTGAGGCGGCTCTGCAGGTGGAAGGTCAGGGGAGGGGTCAGAGCGCGGTCCTTTCGGCCCTCTGGGGGCCCCGGCAGCCGGCCCAGCTCACCCAGCACGGAAAGGTGGGCACCCCGGACCGCGGGGGCCACGCTGCTGCTCCGCAGCACAGCCTCGCACTCGTAGTAGCCCGCGTCGCCCACCGTGGGGCTGGGGATGGTGAGGCGCCGGTTGTAGTCGCTGAGGCCGCTGGACAACTGCACCCCATCCTTCTTCCAGACGATGTGCAGCTTGGTCAGGGGCCTGCAGTTACGGGAAGACAGGGGTCAGCAGGAGCCGGGCAACAGCGGGGTGCAGGTTACACTTGGAGCGGAGGCGGAGGACGGGCCTGCCCAGCGTCTTTCCCTGCCCTCCACATCAGGGAGGTGTGGCCTGCTAGGAGCTCTCGTCCCACGCCAGGTGGGTCCCCAAGGGCCGGGCTGTGACGATGCTCAGGGGGTTCACTGGGTCCCCTGGTTCTCACTGCAGGGCTTCTCGGGGCCGTCATTGTGTCCAGCCACCTCTCACAGCCGTGAGAAACTGGGGTTCCCTGGGGCGTGCTTTCAGAAGCGCTGCTCCAGGCACCTGCTCTCCCAGAATTCTCAGCAGGGTCACCTTGGGATTGTCACCCAAGTCCAGGTTTTCTTTCCGGAGCAATTAGGAGCAGTCTGGTCAAGGCGACTGGCCTCTCCCCTAAGCCTAGTGGTGAGGCTTGTGCGCAGGCGCAGGCCCCGCCCCGTTCTCAGGGCCAGAAAAGCGCATGAGCGCAGGCCGGGCCGGCTGGTTGTGTATCATACAGTTGGCTGGGTGACCTTGGGCAAGTGGCTTGGCCTCTCTGGACTGCGGGGCCCGGACACCTGCGCCGTGCAGTTGGTGTGGAGGGAAATACGAGGCGCATCTTGCACACTGCCTTCACAGCATAAGGCTCAGGGGTGATTTAATGCTTCCCATGTCAGGGGGCCATGATGACTCCTGGCCCAGGTTCCCTCTGCTGAAGTCCACACTCTCTTTTTCGTGGTGCTGAGGATAGAACCCAGGACCTCATATACCCTAGGTAGGGCTCTACCACTGAGTTATGCTATACTCACAATTCTTTTATTCTGTGACAGGGTCCTGCTAAGTTGCCCAGGCTGGCCTCGAACTTGGGATCCTCCTGCCTCAGCCTCCTGAATGCTGAGATTACAGACTCGTGCCACCATGCTTGGCTTCTAGGCCTTTCTGAATCTCAGCAGTGCTTCCCCCACATGGTAGACGGTATTAAGAGGGACAGGGAGAGAGCAAGGAAGCACCCACCTGGCGTTGGCCACACACTCCATGGTCACCTCCGAGGTCCCAGCCACCACGCTGGTGTTCTTGGGGGGGACGATGATCGTTGGTGCAATGGGGTCAGCGGGGCCCCCGACATCTGGGGAGAGGCCAGGTGTGAGCTGGGCAAAGGTCAGGAACCCCACCCTGCCTGGCCATGCTGACTCCACAGTGGGTACGGAGACCCCACCGTCACAGCGGGGAGCAGGTGGCTGGACCCCTGCGAGTCACCCCAGGGGATGCTGTCACCTCCCATCTTCCTCTGCAATGAGCCGCCACACAAGTGTCCAGAGAGAGCCTGCTGGGGACCCTGCTGGCCACGAAGGCCTTCCCCACTCCTCCTGTAAGGCAGCCCTGCCTCCTTCCTCCTTGCCTTGCCCTGTCTTGCTGCCTTCGAAACCCTTTTCCCTGACTCAGTTTACCCGATGGGTTCACATTACTTGCCTGACCTCTCTGCCAAAATGCAAACTCTCCGTGAGTTGAACCCCCCCCCATTCGTGCCTACTGGGCAGTTATGAATGTGACCTTATTCGGAAGGAAGGTCTTCGCAGATGTAAGCTAAAGGCGAGGCCACACTGCATCAGTGCAGGCTCAAGATTCAATGTGACCGGTGTCCTTATTTACAGGGAGAGGAACATTTAGACACAGTCACACAGGGAGCAGCCACGGACAGGCAGGCAGAGGTGGAGATGGGAGAGCTGTGTGTACAAGTCAAGAACTGAATGCCGCGGGCTGCCAGCGGCCCCTGGAACCTGGGAGGGGCGTAAAGGCTCCTCCCTGGACCCTTCAGAAGGAGAGCAGCCCTGTGGACACCCTTGATGCCATACCCCTGGCCTCCGGACCCGAGAGGAATAAATCCCTGTGGTAATAAAGCCACCCGGGTTGGCGGTGCTTCCATACGGCGGCCATGGGAGATTCCCCGAGGCAGAAGCCCTGCGAGTCCTCGCTGTGGACGGAGCTGTGTCTGCTGCCTGTGGATCTGATGGAGCCCTAGCCTCAGTGTGACGGGGTGTGGAGGTGGGGCCTTTGGGGATGGTGATTAGGCTTACAGGAGGTCCCTGACGGGATTGGTGGCCCTGTGAGAAGGGGATGGCCTGTGAGAACTCCGTGTCCATCTCTGTCTGACACAGAGGGCACACTGAGAAGGTGGCTTTCTGCAGGCCTGAAAAACAGCCCACACCGGCTCCCTGACCTCAGACTTCCACCCTCCAGGACCAGGACAGCGACCACCTGTGTCCCACGCCCAGCCTGGGGGCTTCGCCGTGGCTGCCCGAGCTGGCTCACGGCTCTGCTGCCACCATGCACAGAGTGACAGCCGGCACACAGTAGGTGCTGAACACCTGTGAGCCACAAGTGGCGCGTGAACTGTCGCTCTGCAGCCCAAGGCTCCTCACTGAAATGAAAGGGAACCTCTCATGAGCAGGTTTCACTGGGAAAGAAAAACAAAAAACAAACTCCAACTGCTCTCATCACAGTGGTAGCATTTCCTTTTCCTAGTCTTTGAATTCTTCAGGAGGTGGCCAGGCTCTTGTCTGTATAGGTCAGCGTAGGCCCAGTATCGGCAGAATCTCCGATAATCTCCGTACGCCCGCTCGACAGCTCCGAAAAATACAACCGCTGAGAACTTTTTCCTTCACTACAAATCTATCCACTTGGCCTCTTTCCAGGAGGTGGCGAGCCATGCTGGCCTGCATGGCCGGGTTAGACAGCAGTGGGGCTTCCTCTGTGGGGCGGGAGGAGGGCGGGGAGAAGCCCGGTGCCACTCGGGTCCACCCCAGTCAGCCCCGGGCAGGTTTTCCCACCTCGACTCCAGGCCTTGCTAGAAAAGGCTCAGGAAGAATGGAAATAAAATGTAAAAATAAAGTAAAATGAAGGGCCAAGAAAGGAAGCATATAAAGCAGAGTAATTGCAACAATATAAAAGCCTCATGTAGGTGCCATAAAGAGCGATCGGATTGAAAGCTGCTGATATAGCTGAATCCATAAAAGTGTGCTCTAAGTTGTTTATTACATGCTGGGGCGCGCAGGTACCACGGCCCAGATTAATGGAGCTCGAGGAGGAGGCAGACAGGGCGAGCTGGAGTGTCAGCCGTGCGGCCAGGTACACAGACGGCCCAGGAGGAAGGTGAGTTGTCCGGGGCGAGTTGGCACAGGAGGGCTGCCAGGGCCTCAGTGGGCTCCCCAGCCGGGCAGGATGGAGAGGAGGGTACAGGGCTGGAGGGGAGACACTGGGCTGGAGACCCCGGGCACAGAGATGGAGGGTCTGGGGGAGCCTGGGTTGGAAGCCTCACTCTGTCCCGAGTGTCCTACGGGTGACCTCATTTGGTTATTTTGTTCTGTTTTCTTGGTGGCTAAGGCAGGCTAGAACTCACTGCCGCTCAGGGCTCTGTGAATCCAGCCCTCAGCTCAGTAGTTCTGTGTCAGTGAGTGTCTGGAAGGTCCCTGGAATCAGATTCCCCTCCAGATGCCATGGTCTGTCCCTGAGGGGGATCAGTGCTGACCTACTGGTGATGGGGGCTGGGAAAGAGGGCCCTGGCTCAGCTGATCTGGGGTGACCTGGCGCACAGCAGGTGCTCTCTAAATAACAGTCCCTGCTCCTGGGGATCTGCCTGCCTGTGCTGAAGAGAGCTCTCCTATCGCCCCCGATCTAGGGACACATCTTGAGGCTACAGAGAGGTGGACGTCACAGGACTTTGAGGGCCATGCATGTCGGAGCTCCAGGAGAGCAAGCACCCCTCAGCACCCCCGGGGGACAGGCAGGGAGACAGCTGCAGGGGTGCGAGAAGGAGGGGCACTAGAATGGGAGCGCTGTGAGGAAGGGTGGCTCTAGGAGCACCGGGAGGCGGGAGGGGAGCTACTGTATCTGTACAGCAGAGACTTTGGGTTCTGCCGGGCTTGTTGCTCTGTCCCAAGCTGCTACCCTTTGCCTGCAGGAGGAAGTGCTCATTGGTTCCAGTGCTTTTGCTAGCTGAGCCGGGCAATATCCACAGAATCCTTCTTTTTATTTTTTGGTACCAGGGATTGAACTCGGGTCCTTGCGCTTGCAAGGTAGCCACCGAACCGCTGAGCTAAATAATCCCCGGCCCCACAGAATCCTGCTTAACCCACTCAGTGCAACAAGAGGGCAGAGCTAGGTGTGAGGGGAAAGTACATCCCATGCCCGCAGGGCGAGAGAAGGCAGATTTGGCTGGGAAAGGTTAGATAAGAGACCTGATGGCAGGTCTAGGAGCTGGGCTCAGGGCTGGAAGTGAGTGCTGGGGGAGGACAGACAGGAGGACACACCCACAGGGCTGGGGTGGGGGGAAACAGAAGGGCTGGGGTGGCTTAGAGGCCAGCTGTGCAGAGATGGACTGAGCCCTCTACAGAATAGAGGGGAAGCCTGTGGGGACTGCGGAGCAAGGGCGATGGGACTGGGATTTGTTTCAAGGCTTTGAGACGGGGTGGGGTGGGGGAGTCGAGTGGAGAGGTGCTGACACTGGTATGGGTGGCTGTGTGTGCGGGAATGCCACATGAGTGCGGGGTGCCAGGGCCACGGGCCGTGGGAAGATCACAGCCGAGCCCCGGATGCTGGGCTGGCTCACTGGGGTGGGCGCGGAGTAATGGGGCAGGAAGAGTGGTGGGGATGCACGCTAGAAAGCAGGGGATGGGGTGCCCCTGCCCGACGGGAGCCAGAGAACAGGCGCCAGAAGGGCCAGGGTGGGGATGCAGGCTGGGGCGCGGCAAAGAAGGAACAGCTTCCTTTAGAGTAGCGGAAGGAGACCACAGGAGTCTTTCTGCGGGCAGCAGCACGAAAGGGACATTAGTTTTCCTCCTGAGATCAGCACCACGAGACAAAAGGTGTGGTAGTTGGGGTGCAGGCTGTGGGGTCAGGGAGGCCTGGGCCCCACGTCTGCTTTTGCCAGCTCCCAGCAAATGCCGGAAGGAAGTGAGTCCCGTCAACTCTCTGGGCTGATTCGCTCACCTTGCTGATCTGTAAACTGTGGTAGTCATTACCGCTCCTCACCTGTGGTAAGGAGCGACAGGTGAGTTCAGCGGCACTGGAGCATGGAGAATGGGGTGAGGGCAGGGGGCGATGTGGCTCACCCTCTGCGGGACAGCCCCAGCTGTCAGGCGCCCCGTGATGGGCAGGGCACGCTGTCATCTCCTGTCTCTAGGTGTCCTGTGACCAGCTCAGGAGAGCAGGCAGCCCAGGCTCCAATGAAGGACATGCACCTCCTCAGACTCGTGGCTGGGGCAGGGCTCATGCGGGCACCGGTCTCCAAGCCCAGAGGTACAGGGTGGCAAGAAGCCAAGAGCCCTCGACCTTTGGTGGGGCTCCTGTTCCCAGCTAGGTGGAGTCTACGTGTCACCGGGAGGAGGTGGTTCAGCCCCTCCCCTGCCGGGGCTGGCTGAAGGCAGCACAGTCGGTCCTGGCAGAGGTTTATTCTAAGTGGAATCTGCTCCAGCCTGGGTGGGGTGGGGTACTGGAGCGAAGGGAGCCCTAATGTGAAGCTATGAAAAGCGCAGGCAAGACAAGCAAGGAGGAGGGGCATCTTCTGCGTGAGCTCCTGCCACAGGCGAGGCCCCCGGGGCAGGAGGACACAGATGGCCGTCCCCACGCCAGGTCAGTCTGGAGGTGGCAGCCCAGGATGATTTTCTGACAGCCTCACTGAGGGGCTTTTTAGGGTGACCCATTCTTCCCACATCATCTTGTTCAATGCTCCCAGCTCCCCACGGGCAGCACTTCACAGATGAAGAAGCCGAGGCTCAGGGGTTACGTGGCCTTGAGGGCTGAGGCAGGGCTGTCCCACTCTGTCCCTGTCCAGGGCAAGCTCCCAGGATACCTGCCTGCGCCCCTGGGCACTGGGGCGTTCAGGCCTTCAATTCCACATCATCCCACACAGGGCCACGAGCCACACGCGCCTCCCAGCAACTGAAGTGCGGCTGATGCCCCTTTGATTTAATGTGATTTAATTTTAACTAATTTACATTTAATTAAAAACGGATCCCCAATTCAGTTATTAGAACACTTTGAAGTATGTGTGGAGCGACTTGGGCATAAGACTGTACCTTTTCAGCTGTAAATTTCATGAAATCGAAATACAGATCACGTATATCAGATGGAAATTTAGCATTCCAAATTGAGATGTGTTGGAAGTGTAAAATACACACAGATTTCAAGGACTTAGTATGCAAAAACCCAGTGGAAAATGCCTCACTAATATTTTCTACACTGATGGTGTATAAGAGGATGTTTGGGACACGTTTGGTTAAATAAAGTATATTAAGAAAACGAATTCTACCTATTTCTTTTAACTTTGTAAAAAAAAAATGGGGCTACTGAAAAATTTTAAGTTGTGTTTCCATGGGGCGGTGCCATTCTGATCTCCAGGTGTGGGGCCAGTGGTGCTGTCCACGTGAAGTCACCTGGATTACTGTGGTAATCCAGGGTCAATTCCTGGGATCCCCAGTCTTCCTCTTTTTTTCCCCATTTCCAAGGAGCAAGGGCTCCCGGAAGGCCGCTCAGAGAATCCCTGAGGGATCAGAGCAGAGTAGGATGGAGGAAGGGGTGGGGGACAGAGGCTAGAGAGGTAACTGAGGGGAGCCGGAGCTGGTAGTAGGCGAGGTGGCAATTGCTCCTCACAAATCGGCTGGCAGGCGGGCAGGCAGGCTGGGGAATTTGTGTCAGTGTGAGGAACAGGGTTTTCAAGTGCAATCACTTGTGGGAGGAGAAATTAGCTAAACATCAGCTGATTCTGCTCTCAATCTAGCACAAATCACCGCAAGAGAGCAGGAGCTTAGGGGTGAGGGGGCGGGGAAGCAGGCAGCTGGGTGAGGGCCTGGCCGGTGGGGGGATGGAGGGGCTCTGCACACCTTCCCTGGGCCACCTACCCCGTAGGGCTGGGGTAGTTTGCACTGGAGCCAAGAGTGAGTGATCCCACAGTCAACCCTGACTCCTAGGAGGATCTAGGCTGCGGAGGAGGAAGACAGAGCAAAGGGCCCCCCAACCTAGGCTAAACTGAGTCACCCAGAAAGATGCCCAGCTTTGACTTGGGCCAGGAGCCACTCTGCACCTGTGGCACTGCCTCTTACCAAGTGGCTGGGTTCCATGAGGCGCTGGGTATTAGGGTCACTGGGAAATATATGGGAAGAAATGCTCCCTTGGTGGATGTTTCTTTTTCCCATAGAAACAACAGCCCTGCCTCATGCATGCTCTGGGCTCAAGCTAAACAGCCGAGAGTCTGACTCAGGCCAAAGTGACAGCTCTACCCTGTGTCCTTCCAGGCAGGCTGGAAGCTGGGGTGGAGAAAGGAGATAACTGGGAATTTGTGGGAGGGGTCCTTGGAAGCTGGAAGGCCCAGGAATGGGGTTGGCAGGGGGCTGGGAACACTGTGGGCAAGGGAGGCACAGGCAGACGGAGGCTGGGATCAGGGAAAGGCATCAGAAGGCCCCCCGGGTGTGGTGCCCTCGTCTTGCTGCTCCTGGGTGCATTCCAGTGCGACCATGGATGATAAATGAGGTTGCTTTGGGAACAGGAGTGGTACAGATGTGAAGGGACGTGAACATCTGGCTCCCCCAGCTTGTGTGGTGTTTGGCTGCTGCAGGAAGTGCTAATATCACTCTGTGTACTGGGATGTGGTCTCTGGGGCCGCCACCCCAGCCACCCCATCCACCTTCTCTCCTCCTGGGGTGGGGGTTGGAGGGAGCACCTAGTGTGGCAGAGGACAGCCAGGTCTGGCACGACATCCTTGGCTCCAGTCTCAGCCGGCCAAACCTCTGCCAAAGTCACCTGAGGAGTGTTCCCTTTAGGTGCTTCTCCCTGGGCTTCTCTCTCTCTGCCCTGGGGCATCCCGGGATAGGCACAGTGGCACATTTGGGGGACAGCCTGCGCTTCTGTTGGTGGGAACCTCGTGGCTCCAAGCGAAAACAGCACTTTTCCAGCTGAGCAGAGGCAGTTAGTGTATTTAAAAAACAAAACAAAACAAGCTTCTGATCTCCTGGGGAGTTTTCTAGTCAGCACCTGAGCTGGGATGGCTGTGATCCACACAGGCACTCTCTCTCCGGCCCTGTTTCTCCTCTGGCTGGGCATCGGTGGCCCTGTGAACGGCCAGGGCAAGAGTCCCATCTCCTGATGCAGGGTCTCAGGCCAGCTTCCAAACAGAGCTCCGTCCTGTTTCCACGCTGGTACTTGCACCAGGAAACAGCACCCAGCTGCGCTCTCCTCCAGTCTGGGAGGGCTCCCTGCTGCCTTCCCCAGCCCCTTCCCTCCATTCCATCTTCCCAAAGACCCCCCAGGGCACCATTCCCAAGATTTAATGACCCGCTCTGAGGGAAGGTCTGGGCCCTGTGCTTACTTACTCTCCACGGCGAGAGTGATGGGCTGGCTGGTCTTGTTATCTCCGTTCTTGTCATTAACAGCCTGCACATAGTAACGGCCCGCATCAGGAGCCACAGTTGACAGGATGACAAGGGTGTTCTCCAGCGTGATGGCTCTGGGGAGAGGAAAAGGGTTGCTTGACAAGGGCTGGAGGAGTGGGAGCCTCAGAGTGGGAGCCAGGACCTGAGGCTGGTGGCCTGACAGGCTCACCCCAGCCCAGCTGGAAAGAGGAGAGGTAGGGCATCCCCACCCCAGCCACTGGAAACAGCATCCGTGGTTAGTATGCAGAGAACTCCAACAATCTCTTGGTGCTGGGGATCGGACCGAAATACAGCACACTGACACCCAGAGGCTGAGGCCTTCTCCCCAGTCCCCCATGGAATTCCCATGACTCAGCCTGGATGGCTTTGTGAGATCATCTCTGCACCTGAGCATCCAGGCTCCAAAGAAACGTTCATGGAACGACTTGAGTAAATAATGAGAGGACCATCCCAGGATCGCTGCCTGAGTGCCAATCCTTTTTTTGTAGGGCGACTCAAAAACTACAGGTTATGTGAAACAGGCTTCCAGAGCCCTATCTCCTTCTAGTCCCCTCCCTGGGGATCAGTTTCCCCTTTCCAGAGGCTGGAGAAGAGGCACAGGACCAGTGGGGATGGACAACAGGATAAAGGAAGGGTGGACTATGCCGTGGGGTCTGACACAGGCCGCTTGTCTCCAGGCCAGTTCCCTTTTCCGGGTTCCCATCATGCAGCCCCTCAGCATGCCAGGTCCCCAGACAGAGAAAGTGGGGTCCCCCTTTCATATGGATGCAGCGGTGGGGAGAGCACCGCCCACTCCACTCCGTCCAAGCCTTTTGCCCATTCTCCCGATGACAACAAAACCATTAGTTTGCCAAGTCTATCTCCGGATTGTAATGCGATGTGCCCGAGACAGCTGTTAAACATCCTTAATGTTAGTTTAACAAGGACAAATCCAGTTGAATTCTTTTCAGATTTTCCCATTAGGTGAATGTTACAGAGTTTTAAGCAGGCTCTCAAATAAACATCCCTGCTAATGCCTCTCTGGCCCAGTTCTCTTCCAGCCTGAGTGTGCTCTATCCTCCTGATTTGGGGGCTTTACCTACCATGACCCGTCCCATCTGTGGAGTTCTGGGCAGCAGGGAGGCACCCCCTACACTGCTTAGAGGCCCCGATGATGCCCATTTTGTTCTTCTTTTCCTGGAAAGCTCTTTTTACCCCCAGCTAATGAGATGGTAGGAAATGGGAACAGAGCCAGGGTAAAATGTTTTAAAGGTGATAACAGGATGGGGACGGTGACCATCTCTCCACTGTGAGCCTCCTGTGGAATCTTGGTCGTTAAGTGTGCAGCCGAAGGCTGGGGCAGGGAGTCTGGGCTGTGGGTTGCCGGGTGCAGGGTGTCTGGGCAGGGGGCGAGTTCTGGGACGGAGCTCAGGTCCCAGCTGCTGGAGGCATGGAGCTCCTCCTAGCTGGGCCTGGCACTTCATCTCTGCCAGGGTGACAGTGAGTGTTTGCTAGGATTTCCTCCAGGCCAAGGCTGAGGGATGCTGTGTCTCATCGCTATTTCTGTTTATTTCTTATTTGGCCCAGGCAAACCCAGCAGCCCACTGGATGTCCCCCATCTGTAGCTCTTACCTGGTCCAGTTTGGCTTCAGGATGGAGGAAATTGTGTGGGTAGCAATTCGCTGGCATCCCAAGGGTCCAGCGTCCAGCCACAGCCACGGTCAGCCACTGTGGGGTGGGTCTAACAGAGGCTCCTTCAGGCCCTTTCTCTTTAGCCTCCCCTCCTGCACCCCATTTAACTTCAAGAGAAGGAGCCCTTCTCTCCAATTTCTTTTCTTGACTAGGAAGCCTCCTCATGCTCCATCCTCTTCTTTAGCTATATTTTATCTACATCACGATAATTTTTCTAGGTCAGTGGTTCTCAGCCAGGGATGACTTTGCCCTCCAGGGGACACTGACAATGTCTAGACTTGGTTGCCATAGCCGTGCCTCCATTGGAAACTAGAGGCAGAAGCCAGGAAGGCTGTTAAGCGAGTCCCCCACCATGCGCAGGTCAGCCCCCTTGAGAGAATGGCTGTCTCTGGGCAGCATGGTTGAGTGATGTGGCTTGGATGTGTTGTGGTTTGAATGTCCCCTAAGGGTTCATGTGATGTGAATTTAACCCATACTGTGAGGTGTGAAGAGTGTGGAAACTTAATCCAGCTGTGGTGTTTAGAAGTGGGGCCTTTGGGAGCCAATTAGGGTTAGATAAAGTCATCAAGGTGGAGCCTCGTGAATAAATCTTGGTGACTTGATAAGGGAGGACGGACAGACACACATTCACACGTGCACTCCCAGTCTCTTGTTATGCGATGCCCTGCACCACCCTGCCAGGCAAGAAGGCCAACGCCAGACCCCTTGACCTCTGACCTATAGAAGCATGTGCCAACGTAAACGTCGCCCCTTTACCCGGCCTGTGGTCTTGTGCTCCTCGCAATGGAAAGTGGACAAATCCATGCAGACAGCCCGTCCTAGGTGGGGTGGGCACTGAGCGGGCAGAGATGGCCAGCTGAGTTCCAGGCTCCCCTCCTGGAGAGGACTGTGGCTGTTGGACTCCAGCTTCCTGTCCTGTCCAGGGTGGCATGGAGGAGGGGGCGTGCATGCTCCAGACGTGGCCCATGAGGACCCTGCACTCTTCCGCTGCTCCCTCCCCTCTGTCAGAGCAGGGTGACTGGGGAGCCGATTTTCATGACAGCAGAGCCCCAGCAGCCTGCTCCCTGGGCAACTGTGTGGAGGGCACAGCCCTCACCCAAGGCAGGACATTCCCTGTGCCAGACATTACTTTCTGTCACCGAGGCCTGGGATCTGCCTGTAACTGCAGCCAGCACTGCCTTTCTCAGTGCCTGCAGGGCAGCAGCCGGGCCTGGAGCCTGCAGAGTGTGGGTCTGAGCTCTGAGCATGAAGTGGGATAGAAGGCCAGGAGGCCTTTTCCTTGCCTCCCTGACCCCAGCAGGAGGGCAAGGAGGTCCTTGGCTCACAGCCATCTTTGTGATGACTGCTCCCTTGGTACACAGGCAAGGAGCAGCACCGTGGATCCCTGCCAGCACGCACAAAGCTGCCGTGGCCCATGGGAAGGCATGGGGCCTGCTGTACCCAGATGTACCCACACTGCGAGTAGGGGAGGGCTCTCTGGGGGGCATGGACAGCCAAG